GAATGTTAGAAAAAGAGATAATAGTGTGCAAAATGTGAGAAAAATTATGGCATGTAGGTTGGACTTTTTCTGAAAATGTGAACTCTTTGGGGCAGTTTAAGCAGGTTTGAACCAAACTTTCATGTTTTCACTATTATGAGTTCATCAGGTTATTATGATACAGAACAGTTTTGTCCTATTATGCCCTTCCTATAATTGCATTCCACATATTAAGCTCATTAGTGCTAAATATAGTTTGTACTACCTTAACACATCGCATGCTGATATAAACAGGTGTTAAAATTTGACATGGCTAACAGACTTTAAACCATTAGCTCCTGAAACAGTGCACAGTATGTAATAATAACTTTATTAAAATCATATTCACAATGGGGTATTGATCAATCCAGTAAAAGTAATATATATATATAAAATAATAATAATAAAAAATTACAAATATAACTAAAACTAATAAAATACATAAGAGTTAAGAAAGAATAATAATTTATAAAAATACATGTATAATAAAAATAGGTGTTTCTTTGTTATGAGGCAGTGATAATCTAATCTTTTTCAAACTGTCTTCCCTCATAGTAAAAAACTGGTGAATAAATTTACTAAATTTCTTTTAATATTTGTCTATCTTGTAGTTTTAGTATGTTTCATAGTCAGAACAGTCCTGGAGTATGTTGTGTTTTTCGAAGAGGTCATCTCTCTCTATTTTGCAGTATTTGCACTGTAGATGCAAGTGATTACATGTATTTGATAAAGGAGTTCCAATTTTTCTTTAAATCAGTTCTTTACCCAGTTGTTAGTGCCTGTTTCATCTGCTTTTACACATAATCTGTATTACTGGGGTACATTCATTGACCAGTGTATTTTATGGCAATTTTCAGTCAATATTTAAACATTTGGGTCAGACTTGCTAAGAGAAGTGGGTAGAGACCCAGTTGCATTAGGCAACCAATGTTTGTGGTTTTACAACCAACCTTTAGAAGAAATTGACAGAATTTCAGGTGGAGTTTTTCTGCTGGTGTTGTGCAGTTTGATAGGTTTGACAATTGTTTGATGTTACCACATGACCAAACCTCAGAGCAATAATAAAAGCAAAGCTGGTTTGACCACTGCATCAAACATCTAAATATACTTTTACCGAGATATTTGTTTCTGAATATAATTGCTGTTTTAGACTTAATAGAGCCTTCATTGCTCTATTTTGTAAGTATATTAATTATATGTACTGTATTTTAAACACTTAGATAACAGAGGTGTTTCTATGGGCTTAATATCTCAAGGATTTAGTATACAACACATGTAATTTTGGTCTATATAAGCTTCTGGTAAAACATACACAGTATTACGGCCAATTTTTAATTAAAAATGGCCATCAATACAAGTGTAGGGTTTAAAGTTATAGGAAAATCAGTAATTGTTTCCATAGAAACAAGTTTGAAAACATACATTTTTATTAGCTACATGTATTTGTCAGTTATTTGATAGAACTTTTCACTTCAAGAATTATCCATATCCTAGAGTAATAAACATAATAATAAATACAATTTTCTATCTGATTTCAAATTAACAGAGAAATCAGAGAGTACCAGCCAAAGATATTGAAATGTCAAGGGAAAATGTTGAAAATAGTTACAAAGTATGTTTGTAACTAAGAACTATCACATGACATTATCATGTGACTGTCAACTGATGTCTTCCTTACCTTATTATATGTAGAAAATATAACTTCTCTTGCATGATAATGCATTGGAGTCATCGTCTCTGAACATTTATCTAAAATAAAATCTACTTCCCTCTTGACCTGAGTTCCATTTGGCAATCTTCTCACCAACTTCTGTACAATCTGTCAAAAGATTATAATCACAAAACACCTGATGAAAATTTGGATTTATAGTATCACCTGAAATATAATAATATTTTAACAAAAATACATTTATGCAATGGATCACATCAATCTCGTTATGCAATGATCAAAACTCAGCAGTATGTCTTAATGTAAACCTTTCAGTAATTTTGTAATGAACTCAGATAATGTTGAAATCACAATGAATCTACAGAAATCGTGGATCATTAGAATATTAGATCAAAACAAGTAGCCAATATAAAATTATGCCTTTTGATAAAAAATTAACAATGAAATCATATAAAAATACATTTGAATAGGCAGAACAGAAAAACAACTTACAGTAAATTCTCCCTTGGTGTATTCAGCATTTGGCAAACTGACATGTTCTTGTTCTCCAAGTTTACATCCGACTGGAAAACCCTGTTGAGTAGATGATGAATATTGTGTGAGAACTTTGAAGTGCGCCCTTATCTAATAATGGCATTATATCAGATTCTGATGTGTGTCTGTTTAGAAAGCTTAGAAGGAGCTCTGGTGTGCTGAGAGTACTGGAGGTATATTTATTATTTCAAAATTTAAGAATAGCCTTTCTAAAAAGGTCTGCTATTATAGATGCACAACATGAAAACAAATTGATCCACATGCATTATAATGTCTGTGCATTGTCCCAGAGCATCTACATGTATGTACAAAGTTTCATTGAAATGTGATGATTGATACTTGAGATATCAAGAGAGAAGCTGAAAATTAGGTAATTAATATGCATGGACTTTTACCCAAAACTAATCAGGTCTATGCATTGTCTAAGAGCATCACAGAAATTAAAAAAATTATAACTAAATTAAATTTATTGATGTTTTATTTTTGTCAATAGTGTGCAGTTCTTTCAAGAAGAAGCAGAGTTTTCTTATGAAAATCTGAATGTTTCTATCTGTGTTTACCTTTTTATGCCACATAATAAGACCTGCAATTGCCATGGCTGTCGTTGTCCTGTCTTTGCCATCATGGCAGTTAAAGATCAGTGCTGGACCATCTTCGTCAGTGTGAATCTCATCAAGGTCTTTTATAACTGACACAAGTAAATCATATTGCTGAAATGGAAATAACCAATCAGAAAAAGGTATAGAATCATGTGACATACAATGACCAATAAAAACGAGATACATAAAAAGTAACTTAGCAACCAGTTATAAGAATTGATCATGTCATATGACAATTAAGAACCAATCAATTTATAAAATTGTTTTAAATTACCTCTTCAGTTGCAGAACACTCCTCCTGCATAGGCATCCTATAATATCTAAGCTGAGGTGTCTGTTTCATCTGATGCTCACACATCTCCCTTATTGTCAATATACTGCTAAAATCTTTAGGCTCCCTAGCCTGATTCGTTTCTTGATATACCTGAAAGGGCCAATGAGGATGACGTTATTTTTTCTAGAAAGTTCTCAACAAATTTTTTGTTGTTGTATCATAAACTGGAATGGTGAACACTTGTCGTTTTCAAACATATAAAGAGTTGAAAATGTACTCAAATAACTGTAAACGGGAACTCTTCTTCCAAAATGAGCGTTTCTTTCTATTTACTGGAGAACCAAAATTCACAGTAGATTCTCTAAATTATACATTATAGAATAACATGATGGTCACCTCTTCTGCCTGATTCCTAAATGAAAGAGTGTATGGCCATGTGATCACTATAAAACTAATCCATTACACAAAGACACATAATGTTCATCTGACCTCCAAAAGGTCACACATCCTGGTACATACATATCCACTATCAATTCCAATTTATAAACCTATAAAGTACAGAATATATGCATAATATTTGAAAATTATTGCAGTTATAAGACAACAATAGCACCAAAAAAACACAGGATGTGTGACCTTTCAAAGTCACAATTAGGGCCTACTTACCTGCAATGTTTTCTTGGTTTTCAAAAGTTCTGTTTTCAAAAGAGCTTCTTTTCTCTGAAAGTTTGATATTTATTGAAAAATATATTTTAAAATAAATTATTATTAAATTAATTATTTTAAAAAAATTGATTTAAAATTCACATGTTCAATGACAAGTACAAATTTATCCCCCTATAAAAACATTTCCAATTGCACAAGTATTTGATCAATTTTACCTCTAGTTCTTTTGCATCAATTCCCGACAAATTGATATTTTCTGTTAAGTTAGAGGGTTCTCTTGGTGTAAAAGTCTCCCCATCACAGTCAAGAACAACATCTTCTCTCAGGTTGAATAAAATAACTATCGGGTGACCATGTTTTTTATCAACTAATGTCTGCACAACTCTGGACAGACCCTAAAAATAAAGTTTATCAGTTTATATGACATCAATTTTCACAGTTTGTAAAACTGTTTTTTGATCTGCAGGTAGTGGCAAATGTGTTCTTTGAATTATTCATGATTAATTTGAGGGTGCTCTTCACTAAAACTATAGTCTTCAAAGACGTAATTGCACTAGTAACTGCAACATTAAAGGCAATGCTCATTGGTGCAATTTTTTAAGTTTATATATGTCATTTCATGCAGTGTGATGACCACCACATTTGAAATACTTAATGTACAGTCCATGATGTGACGTACCTCCCTGCATGGTTGTGCCATTCCATATACATTCAATCCTGGACATTTCCTAAAATTGGATACTTTGACTTCTCGAGTAGAACTGAGAACGTCAAGACCGATGTAATCGTCTGCAACCTGAGAAAATAGAAGAACAGAAGTCAATTCAAATAAGGTTTAAAAACATGTTACCATGCTGATACTAGAGGGCGTACTTGACAACAAAAAATTACAATCAGTTCAGAAAATATATCTACAAACAAGATAATGAAGCTTTAAATACAAAACATACATATGAATGTACAAAGGTTCTGCTGAAACAGTTGCTATTCTAAACAAGGCAATTGAATTAATTAATATCTGAATTTCTGCTATACATTGGAACAACTACATAAAAAAAAGAATGTAATGAGCTGCCACTAGAGGGTGCCTGTCACTCACCATGTATCTCACTCCTTTGGTGATGAGCTCAGGCGATGTTTTTCGTTCTGAGATATCAATATTGCTGAGAAGTCTGTACAGGTATGGACGTTTATAAACCCAAGAACTGAATGGCTGAGTCAAAGTTAACGGATACTGCAAAAAAAAAGTTATTTCCATAAATGTAC